ACCTGCACTGGAACTGGAGAGTAGGGGGGTTGGCCCAGTGCGCTGACAATCCTGGAGCCGGTGTGCATCCGTGGCTTTCTTTTCTCTGAGGCTGGTCAGTGTCTGCATTGTTTGCCTCTAGCCATTGAGCACTAGAAGCTCATACTTGGCTGTGGGGTACACCTGTCTACATAGTCATAGATTCTTATCCACCTGGCTTCCTGCACATCCCAAGAGGTCACTGATAACACAGAGCCTGCACTGATAGGGAGGGATACTTCTCTCATTGTAAAGCCACTCAGCAAGACCTCTTTAATGGAACTTTTCTCTTCCTCCTTTTGTCCCATAACTGGGAAGAACCAGGAGCCCCACTAAAGTATGGTGAGCTAGGATGTTCATCAGGAGTGAAGAAATTAGTGTGTGCCTTGTTCTAGGTCTCCTAGATGGGGTGGATGAAGAGCTTGAGTGTCAAGAAAATTCGCTTACTTCTGCATGGGAGGTCACCATGAGGGCCCCATGGGCAAAGAAAAGGACAAATAGAAGAAGAGGGTTGATGGGCTCGCCCAACATGGATCACAAAACTGGCCCATAAGGAGACTTCAGATGTGATGGAAATATTTGTCAAAGTCTCTTTGGGGGTGCAAGCAGAACAGCTGATAAACCTATTGTCTTACTGATAATTTTATTTCCCAGAAGAGAAAGGATGCAATGAGAGGAACTATTGGTGCTCTATCTCTGACCAAGAAAGAATTGGCCCGAGGAGGAAAAAAGATAGGCCTGGCAAAATGGCCATGTCATCTTAGGCTCTATAACAGCCAAGGAAGGGTGGATGTTGGACTCAGCCAGGCTTGTGTCTAAAACCTGAGGAAAAGAGATTTCAGAGATTCCCCCAGAAAATCCCTGGGCCCAAGTGCTGTGAAGGAAGACATTTCCACTGAGAGGACATGAGGCTTATCAAAAATCAATTCAAACCACGTGGTTTCAACTTCTGATTTTTAAGAGTCCCACTTTCTCTTTTCCTCCTACACTGTCTTTTTCTCCCAGAAAATTTATTCTGAGGAAAAAAGAGGAAGTCACTCAAGAAACTGTATAGGCTTTAAAAGATCAGAGACCACGGCAATTAGGCAAGAAAAAGAAATAGAAGGCATGTAGTGTGAAAAGACATAAAATTTATTCACAGAGGCTGTAATCTTATGTATATAGAAAGTCCTAAGGATTTAGGGAAATCCTTTTAAAAAAAAATCTCTTAAAACTCATAAACAAGTTCAGCAAAGGGTCAGGATACAAAATCAACATACAAAATGCATTGTATTTCTGTATACTAGCAATGAACAATCTGAGAATGAAATTAAGAAAACAATTCCATTTATACTAGCATCTAAAAGAATGCAATACTTAGGAATATATTTAACAAAAGTAGGCTAAAACACATTGAAAACTATAAAACTTTGTTGAAAGAAATGAAAGAAAACCTAAAAAAATAAAAATGGAGAGACATCCCATGTTCATGGTTTGGAAGACTTAATATTTTTAGGATGGCAGTGCAACTCAAAGTGATCTACAGATTCAGTGCAATCCCTACCAAAATTCGAACTGCTTTCTTTACAGAAATTGACAAACTGATCCTAAAATTTACTTGGAAATGTGTGGGATCCAGAATAGCCAAAATAGCCTTGAGAAAGAACAAAGCTGGAGTTCTCATGTGTCCTGATTTCAAGGCTTACTCCAAGCTCCAGTAAACAAGACTGGTACTGACATAAGGACACACACACAGAGATCAACTGAATAGAATTGTGAGTCCAGAAATACACACATACATCTATGGTCAATTTGTTTTTACAAGGGTTCCAAGACAATTCAAGGAGAGAGAATATTCTTTTCAACAAAGGATGGTGGGACATTGGATATCCACGCACAAAAGGAATAGAGAGTTACTGCTAACGGGTCCAGGGTTTCTTTTGAGGATGACGAGAATGTTCTGAAATTAGATAGTGGTATTAGTTGCACAACTCTGTGAATACACTAAAAACCACACAACTGTGCCCTTTAAAGGGGTGATATATGAATTATCTCTCAATAAAAAATATAAAACAGTTCAACCTTCCAATACTAAGCATCCTGTGGTTTATTTAATGTTCATAATTCTGCAATTAGTACCAGTCAAGTAATTTCTACATCTGTGTGCAATAATGTAACATAAAAATGGGTGCCAGGAAGAAAACAAACAAAAAAGAAGTAGGAATAGCTAAAAGAACACAAGGACAAAAGGAACTGAAGAGTAGGCATGAGAAAAAAAAGGGCATAGCCACCGCACAATCCCTGAATGGTTTTTTTCCACTGTATATTCTTGTCAATGTATAAACATGTTCATTCTTCATAACACTCAATAAAATCAAGATACGATGTTTTCCTATAAAAGGCTTTAAATATTATTTAAATATATTAATGGGGGAAAGGGGACAGGGGTTCCCTATGTAAGGGTGGGAACAAGGTTTATGGACAGTATGAAGCATTAAGAAGCCGGAGCAAGCAGACTGAGATGGCAGAAATGCCTCAGAAAATAAAAAAAGCCTTTTTAGGCCTGTTTAGAACAAGAAAAAGAATCAGGAAGTGATAGGCCCACTGCTTGGGACTCTTGCTGTAACATGAGAGGAAAACAGAACTACTCAGTTATTA